TAGAGGAATACCCAGAAATTGTCGCAAATGTAAACGTTAACAAGGTCAGGACATGGACATCTTTAGATGGAAGCTAAGCACAGAAGTCTTGATTTTTCTGGGGTGTCAGCAATATTAAGTGCTACATACACCACTTGAACTGGAAATAATCCCTGTTGCAACTTGGCGCCCCACTTCCTCCTATGAAATGCCTCTTTCTAAATCAGAGATGTTACTGGTCTGACTCATTTAAAGAGATCGCCAGAGCCAGCCCCCACTCTTTTAAAGACTGACTAGACTGAGAAAAATAGAACGATTCCTAGGAGGCTGTTTACCATAAGGATGGCTAAGTTTCCGTACAGTCCACGGGGTTTAAGGGTTGCCAGCCCCCAGGGTCTATCAAGTATCGCACACCACCTAACCCTCCCAGCTTAGAACTTGGAGCAGTTGTCAGGTGTCCAGAAGGAGGGCCTCAGTTTGCTGTCCCATCCCTAGCAGCATCCCTGGGCCTTATCAGGAAAGGGCCAAGTTCAAGTGCAGCACTTATCATACTTTAGACACACACACACACACACACACACACACCATTCACATATGTCTAAGTGTGAGCTGGCCTCCATTTCTGGGAGGATGCTAATTATGCACAATTCCATCCAGGTTTTAGGTTTGCATCCCTGTAGCAGGCACCCGACCTCCAGGTCTGAGCATGGCCTCAGCCTGAGTGACACATCATCAGGCTCAGTGGCCCCTTTGACATTATAAATGCTGTGAAGAATGGCAATTTGGGTAGCTGGGAAGCACTGGGGGGTGGGGAGATGCCTTAAAGTGAAGGAGCAAGACCATGGGGTACCTATTTCTGTACCAACTGCACCGGAGCAGCCAAGTCACTCTGCGTTTGATGTTTCGACATGTGTGGAGCTGGGCAGGCCATGGATATGGCCCACTAGGAATGATTATCATTAAATTAGCATATACCAAGTCACGTGTTTGTCATTTGGCAGCTCAGACACCTGTTGCTTGAAAGTTATTTCCCCTTGCAATTTCAAATGTCAGTTGTTGATATATTTTAATTGTTGATAAATTGTTTGAGCCCTGGTCCCCTGCCAGTATCAGAAGATTTCATCTGCAATTCTTTGAAATTCTATTACCTGGTGATTATGTTGTAAGAAACTACAGAAAAATGAAAGAATGAGCACCAGACGAGGAATCAAATATCCTGTGTTTTAGTGGCAGGCCTGACTCACAGGGTGAATGCTTATCAGTAAGTGGGCTACGATGACTGAATTTCCTCTCATTCTTTCCGGTATCTGAGTGCCTACTATGTTCCGATCGCTGTTCTAGGAACTGATGACCCGTCAGTAAGCAAGAGACAAAGACCTCTGCCCTGGCTCACACTCTCCTTCCATAACTTGCGGCTGTTAACTCATGTAGAATCAAAACCGAAGAATGAGCCACTGGGCAGTTGGTCTGGACCCGTGCTGCTCAACACTGCATCCGCAAGCCTTGCGTGGCCCTTGAGCGCTCGACACGGGGCAAGTCCACACTGAGGCCACTGAGATGTGCTGTGGACATAAAATACACCCCAGATTTCAAGAACTCAGTAGGAGGAAAAAAAAAAGGGGGGGAAAGTATCTCCTTAATATTTTTTATATTGATTACATAGAGATGTTAACATCTGCTATGATGGGTTAAATAAAATCATTAAAATTCGTTTCACCTGTTTATTTTTACTCTTCGATGTGATGACTGCTAGAAACTTAACTGGGGCTCTCCTATTTCTCCTGGACAGCACCGGTCGACTGGCCTTATCACAACGAGGAAACTGAAGCCTGAAGAGGTCGAGGCCCATCCTCACAACCCAAGACAGGCCTCAGAGGCAGGGAGGAGGGGAGCAGAGAGACCGTGGGAGGCCCAGACACTCAGGACAGTAGCAGCTGAGCAAGCCCAACCAGGGCCTGGACACAGGGTCCACGCTCACTTGGTGTCCACTTCACCTCGCCTCCTGGATCTGCACTCCTCCTACCGCAGCGCCCGGCCGCTTCCTCCACATGAGTGCCCCGATGGGCCGAGACCACACAGGGTCAGTCAGCTGCGATGCCCACCTCCTCAACCACAAGCACAAGTCAGGGATAAATGGGGTGTGCTTGGGGGTAGGATGTAGACAGCCGGGCAAGGTGGAGGATGACCCTTTCTCCCACCCTCGTGTAAAGACTGGCCCAGGGGACAGAAGCACATGGTAATGTGAGGGAGCGGACGTAGTTCAAGATTCATGGATAATTTTGTTCTCAAAATAGGCCCACAGAGAGTGAATATGGAGACAGATATGGGACTTTGTTCATCCAGCGGAAGACTTGAAAGTAGAAACAGAAAACAAGGTACACGGCAGAGCTGTAAAGAGGTGAGTAATGAGATACGAAGACCCTCAGATGGGGTGACCTCAGGAGCCTCTCAGGAAGGTCTAAAGCTGGGTCATAATATAGTTTGGTGAGGAAAGAGCAGTGATTTGTTCAAATATTTGAATCTGAATTCTGTGAGGCAAGGGAGGGCAATCAGGAAGACTCGTCCAAGGGAGGTGGAAGATGAACAAAAGGTCAGAAGGGGACAGGTCCTGAAAAGGAGCTCGGCTTCTGGAGGGATGGGCAGTTCCTGGGAGTTCTTCAGGTGGCATTCGGGGGGGGGGGCGGGGGGGCATGGGATGAAGAATTGGCCAGAGAGGCAGGAGAAGAGCCCCATACGGCTCTCATGGAGCTGCTGTCTACAGGCCCCTGAACCAGGTCAGTGATGGCAGTGGGAAACAAAAAGTGAAAAAGATAAAAGATCAGCAGAACCAGCAGCCGAGTGAACTGGAGAGAGAAAGGCTGAGCGAGCCATGTGAGGCTGGGGTTGGGGTGGATGGGCAGGAAGCGCAGGGTGGAAACGCTGGAAGAGAGCGGGTCTGGAGCTCAGCTTAAGGAGCTTCAGCTGCTGGCCAATTAGCAGGCGTGGCCCCTCAGCTCCAAGCCTACCAAACGGAGGCCACCATTTAGAAAAAGGCCCAGAAACCACCCGGCATTTTAGGCTGGGAGCTTCCCACCCAAACAGCTCCCGGCCCGTTGGCCCACCAAAATGAATCTACCTAAAGGAGACTTCCCTCGCTGAGAGAACTGGCAGTTGAATGCCCCAGATCACTGTATCCAATTCGCAGGAGCACCTTCCGTGCCCCAGGGCCTGCTCCGGGTGCAGGGAGAATTCAGCAGGGAGCACCGATCACTGCCTTCCTGGGGCTCACATGCCAGTGGCTAAGACAAATGAGCAAAATCTGAGTGCCTGTGCATTAGGACCCTGTCCCAGCTCCTCCTGCATCCAGAGCGCTTCCACAAGGCCTTTCTACATACCACTGCCTTGGCCTCCTCGGCACCTGGCACCAACTGCTACCCGGGAAGGACTTAACTACTTACTGACTCAATCACCGTTATCCAAGAAATAAACACTTTATGCAGTTTATAGTGACCAAGCCTCCAAAAGGCTCTGAGACTAAAAAAAATCTCCTCCATGGAGTTACTTAACATCAGCAATTATTTCTTCATATTCCTTTTTTCCTCTTGTTCCAAGAAGCTCTGCAAACAGTTCTGGGGCAGCCTAGAGGGACCAGCTGTACAAAATCTATCGATTCTAAACAATTCATAAGGCTCTTTCCTACATAGCTGGGTTTGCAAAGAGGCTTCGTTCAAATCACTTAAATTCCAAATATGAGCTTCTTTATAATGCACGCAGTGAAAGGATAAAAAGGCTTGAGACAGAAGTCTGGGAAGCATCACAAGAGATCAGAACTACTGCTGTACCCAACTGGCTTGTTTAAACACATGAGCATTTCTTTAGACACAGCAGTGGCTGCTTCATCATAATATAGCTTATGCCAGCTTGCCAGGCCACGGTCAAAACACCAGGATGGCACAACACATTTTTCTATATTGTCTTTTGTGTACTTCAGTGACATCACAAAGAAAGCAATGAAACTTATCTAACCAGAGTAATGTTTTATCGCAAGTAACAGCTCAGATTCAGCATTACTTCCCCTTAACCCCTAAACACACACACACACACACACACATACACACACACAGAGTAATGCACACACACAGCCCATAGATCTGGCGTGAGACCAAGAAACCCAAACACGACAACCCAAGTTTAACTTAACTCATGAAACTAGGCTTGGGCTTCCACAACTTCTCTTGGGAATACAAAAAAGTTTTACCATTCAGAGCTCTTGGCTTGTCATTCTCTGGTGACTGGCCCCAGGCACACAATATCAGAGATGAAAGATGAAGACAAGGTACTACTTACTTGAGCAGTTTAAAAAACCGTGTCATTTTCTAACTTTGTATCAAATGTGTCCAATTACCGGCACTGGGAGAACAAGGGCACTACAGTCCACTCTGCATTATCTTTATTGCTAGGCAGTTCCTTGGATTTTCAGAAGTACGAGGACTTCTCTGTTCTTTGATGGGTAATGCAAGATGTGCACAATTTGCCCTGGCCTTGAACACTGGGGGCTGTAGGCTACATGGGGCATACTGGGAAATGCAGGGGTGAGGGGTTCTGTAACTCAGGATGGGATTTCCGTGAGCTGCTTATACTCACAGTACAGGTGAGCAAACCAAGGAGGGAGAACCACTGGTGCTCAGCTAAATCACACTCATTCTGACAAATAGGCAAGATCCACATCCTTACCTTCAGAGGTACCCCAACTTAATCTCTGGATACAAGGGAGGTATTGTGGAAGAAACTCCACATACAGAGTGCTGTGGTGAGCTCTAGGGTACAGACACTGTCATGAAATGAGGGACCTTTGTTTTGGATAACAATTTAGAGGCCTCCTGGCTGAGAAAAAAGAAAGTGTGCCTATTTTTTTTTTAACTTTCACATGATGTTATGGGACTCGCCCTACAGCTACCTGAACAATTATATACAATATACCAAAACCTTCTTTCTAAAAACTCCTTATTGAGAATAAATGTACTCTAAAGATATGGGTATACCTTAAGACACAAGGTTTCAGTTATCTCAAGTAAAAGCTTGACTCCAGAGATATTAAGTTTTCCATCTTCACAAACAAGAATGTCAAAGGACAGAACCCCCGCTGGTCCAGCCAGACTGCCTCCCTGAAAGCGAAGAGAAAAGTCAGCACTCTCTAGTCTCCACCCCACCCCCTTCAATGGCAGGGTCTCATGTGTGGGTCTCACTCCCTCAATAATACCTTTGGGGATTTAAGACACAGCACAATTCTTGGTAAGCGCTCCTAACCACCCCCCCCCCACCACCACCCAGGCAGCCCCAGGCTGCCTGGCTTGCTTCCTTGTGGGCTTCCTTGCCAAGTTACTCCCCTGGAAAGGTTAGTGTAGCCAACAATGGCCAATCTCATGCCCCACCCCCGCCCCTTGGAGGGCAGCTGAGCCAAGCCAGGAGTCTACTTTAGAAGAATTTAATAATCTTTACTTTATTTCCTGGGGAGGTTCAGGTTCCTGACCCACCTACCAAATATCCTGAATACCAACTGTCACAATACAGATGATTACAACAGTCTTTATAAACGCTGACTGTAATAAGTGAACTTTAAAGCACTCCATGGCTTGCATGTTATAACTCCACTAAAAAAAAAAAGTTTAAACGGTAGCAAGTCGCTACCTAAGCCAAGGACTTAGCCCTGAAGAAGCCTTTCCTCCAGACAAAAAAGAGGGAGGGGGACTGAGCTGATCCCTCCCGTGAGGTCCAGCCTATCTATGAGGCGGTTCTAGCGGGGATGAGTGAGCTCTAATTCTCCAGAGAAACTCGCCAAGCTTCTCTCCGGAAGTCCTCCCTTACTTTGAGGTAGAGCAGTCTTGTTTTCTCTCCCATCTGCGTTCTGTGTTTAGGGGTACAAGCTACCAACCTGTACTGGTCAGGTTCGTCACCCTCCTCCGCCTCCCCTCCCTCCTCTTCGATCTGGGGCAGCCACCCGCCGCACCGCTAGCCCAGTCAACTCACTGTCAAGGCTTTTAGTCTACACGGTAAGCAAGTTTCCTTCCTAAAGGGGGAGGAACCAGGCAGGGCACAGACACCTTATTCCCGAGAAGTTTCCAAGAGAAGTGCAGCGCGCGGAAGTCACTCGCTTGGACCACTTGCTGCTCACGGTGTCCACAGTCTAGTGTGAGTCCACCGAAAGTTAGGGATCTCCGCCCTGACCTCGAAACCCGGGCTTGGCGCCGAGCCGGGGAAGCGCCCCGCCCCTCCCCTCCCCGGCCTGATACGAGCCCCTGACCGCTGCGTCTCCAACTGCGCCTCCGGAAACCGCCGCATTCGAATTCGCGCTCGGCTGGCCTGCGGAGGTGTGCGTGCCCGCCGGAGCGCAAGCAAAGAAGGGGCGGCGGGGGCGCCGTCGGACCGGGAAGGGGCCGAAGGCCCCCATCGCACACTCTTCGGCCGCCCTGCCCGCCCCCGCCAGCGCACAGCCCGCGGGACGCGCCGAGCAGGAACTCGCCGAAGTTTGCCAAGCCCCGGTCGAAGTCTCTGGAAAGTTGTAGCTCCCTCTTGGGGCGTCTCGCCTGGCCCTCGGGGGCGGGGGGATGTGTGTGGGGGTGTCGTCGCCGGAGCGGGAGGGGAAGGGAGCACCGCGGCCCGGCACCTGTCCGAACCTCCCCTCTGGCTCCCCACCGGGCTCTGAGAAGGCTTGAGCTCCGCTCGGCGGGGACAGACCCCCGAAGGCAGAGCGCGCGGCTCCGTGGGGCCGCGGCATCCTCGCACCTTTAGGGGAGGGGGCCGGGGACTCACCTGGGCGGCGGAAGAGGAGATGACAGAGGCAGGTCCTTGGCGTGGGCAGCCCCCAGCAGGAGCGGCGCGGTCACTACAACCCCCGGGCAGCCGCACCGAGTGAGCGGTCCTGCCGCCGCCCCCTCCGTTCTTATACGGCTTGACCACGCCCCCGCCCCCGCCCCCGCCCCTAAGCCTTCCCTCCCAGGGGAGCGAGGGGCGGGGTGGGGCGGGGCCAGAGCCCACGGGATCCTTCCGCCTGGGCGCTGACGGCGAGGGCAGGGCAAAAGGTGCCCTCTGATTGGCTCCTCGGGTGAATGGTTGCCGAGAGACGAGTAAACCTTCGGCGGCGGGAAGGGGCGGGGGGTGCTAAAGGAGGTAGCACTGCGCAGGCGCAATAAAGAGGGGCTGGGTTGACACCCCCCCCCCAACTTCGGAGTTATTGGGACTCTCTTCCTACTTTCCGCTAGGCTCTTTTCTGCCATTGCCATCATATAACTCTTCCTCCTAAGCTCTTCCCATCTCTGTCCCCCTCCCTCGCAGGCCTGTCTTTTTCTCTTGCTTCTCTGGGGATTTTCGCGTTGGTTCTCTCTCTCCAGGAGTGGGGAATGAAACCCCTACGCCTACCTCCGGCGTGTGTTTCAAAGTCGGAAAAAAACTTACGGTTTCTGAGCCAAGGGAGCCTTCCTCTTTCCCCAAGCAAATTGCCTGGAGGCCATCGGGGAAAAGGCCGGCGCAGTTGGTTCTCTGCCCGCAGTTACCACCTGTGTGAGGTTAGTGGGACTGCGGGTCTCGAGGAGTCCCCGTCGCCAAGACGGGCAACCGCGACAGCTTCGGCCCTGCTCGAAGTGTCGTGTATGTTATGTAACGTGCAAGCGGGGCTTGGACACCATCCACTCGTTCCATAGCAAGCAGCCTAGAGTCCAGGTTCTAAACTCAGATCAATCTGGGTTGGGATCTCCACTCACCACCTATCTGTAAGGCCTTGGGCAACTAACTTAACCCTCCATAAATCTCTTTCCTCACCTGTATGACGAGACTAAAAATAGAGCACCTTTCTAGGCTTGTATAAGTACTAAATAGGAACGTGGAAAGCTAATAGTGCAGAGTCTGATGCAAAATGTGTGGCAAGTGTTGTTTATATCAAATACTAGCTCTTGTTATTTATCGAACATTTATTGAGCTTGTACTGATCTTCTACTGGGTGGTAGAGAAAAAGGTTACTTCCCAGATGCACTATTTCCCTATCCCTCCCCTTCCATCAGTGCCTGAAGTATCAGTGTCTGCCAAGATCTCAAGAGCTCTCTGGGGGAGGGAGAGGTCTCCTGGAAGGTGGATGAGATAGGATTTCAGTATGCCTGCTTGTAGGCAAAGTCACAGTGACTCTATTGTTGAACATAAAATCAGGATATATGGTCTGATTTTTTCTCACTTTTTGAGGTATAAATTCAGTATAATGCACAAAGCTGATGTGTACACAATGATGAATTTCTACGATGTATACACCCATGTGGCTGCCAACCAGCTCAAGATGTAGAACATCTCCAGCTTCTTCATACCCCTTCCCATTCAGTGTCTCCCAAGGGTAAACACTATTCTGACCTCTGTTGCCAAAGATTAGTTTTTCAGGGTTTGAACTTGATGTGGATGAATTACATGTATGTGCATTTTTGTGTCTGGCTTCTTTCATTTAACAGTGTGCCTAAATATTCATCCTGTTGCATGTAACAATGGTTCATTCTTTTCCATTGTTGTATATTATTTAATTATGTAAGTGTTCAACAATTTATATACTCATTCTACTAGTGGATGTTTGAGTTGCATCAAGTTTTTGTCTATCCTGAATTAAGCTGCTACAAACTAGCTCCTTTTTCTAGCTTTCTTTCTAGAGATGTAGTTGGTGTATATTTAAGGTGTAATACATGATGTTTTGATACACATTGTGAAATGATTACCACAACCAACCTAATTAACGTAGCCATTACATCACATAGACACTGTGTATGTGTAGTGCAAATGCTTAAGATCAACTCTCTTTGCAAATTTCAGGTATATAATACAGGATTATTAATTATAGGCCCCATGCTCTACATGAACTTATTCATAGGGCATAACTGAACCTCTGTACCCTCAGGCCTACATAGACATCTCTTTTATGTTGGATTTATACTCAGGATTGGAATTGCAGGATCACAGAATATATACATATTAAGCTTTAAATATACTGCCAAATAATAATAATAATTTGTATACAATTATATTCATACATTATTAGACAATAATAATTTGTATACCAACCAGTGATACAAGATTTCCAGTTGCTCCACATTCTTGCCAATATTGGTATTAGCGGTCTTTTTAATTTAAAAAAGTGGGTGTGTATTTCATTATGATATAAATTTACATTTATCTGATGAGTAGTGCTGTTGAGGAATTTTTTATATGCTATTGGCCATTTGATACCCTTTTAGTGAAGTGTCTGTTCAAGTCTTTTGCCCATTTGCAGAGAGTTGTCTATCTTAGTGATCTATAAGAGTTCCTTACATATTCTGGGTATAAGTCCTTTGCCCAATACATGTATTACAAAAATCTCCCCCCAGTCTGTGACTTTCTTTTCATTCTCTGAATGTTATCTTTTGATGAACAGAAATTCTTAAGTGTAAAGAAGTCTAATTTATTAATCTCATCTTTTAGGACTGGGGCTTTCTTATGTCCTGTTTAAGAAATTGTTGCCTGGTGTAAGGCCATAGGGATCATCGCCTTTGTTTTCTTCTAGGAACTTGGTTGCTGCCTTCATAGTTAGGTCTATGATTCATCTCAGATTCACTTTTTGTGCAGTTTGGGGTCAAGATTTTTTTTTTTTTCCATTTGGATATCCAATTAGCTCAGCACCAATGGCAAGCAGTTTTGTTGAATCAATGAGTGGATGAATGAATGAATGTTTGTTGAATGAAAATTCATTTAAGAGAACAAAGCAACCACTTAGAATCCAGAATGTCAGAAAAACCCAGGACACATGATCACAATAAATTTAATGCAAAATTTTATATTACATTGACTCTTGGACCATTTCTATTTTTTCAGCACCTGGTGGATACCATTAGCACAAGTAGCCTCAGGGTAGAACATGGTTCAGAAATTCTTACCTAGAATTTGATCTGGCATGGTTTGGTTCTACCTTTGTGGAGGTAAAATTTTGCTCAGCTTCCTGACCAGTAGGTAACTTTGATCATTAAGGAGGGGGGAGAACCAAGAGCCAGAAAAGAAATGAATTATTCATATATATGTATATATTTTTCCTTGGTCCTCTTTTTATTCCCGAGGCATTACTTGACTTTTCTAGAATTTTGTTTCTGATTTTGTTTGTCTGTTTTGTTTTATAAAAGACACAGTGTTCTTTCTACCTCATGAAACTGTGGCATCCTAGAGCTGGAAGGAGTTTCGGGGTGTCATTACCCATTGGACACAGAACCAGATATTGAAACTTTCCAAGATTACTGGAGCCTCCTTGCCAAATTCCAGCTCCTGCCAGTACACATCCAATCAAAATGGTTTAAAGACCTTTACATTCTGAGTGGTTCACTTATCTATACCTACAAAAGCTAAGGAAAGAAGAGCAGAGGGAGGAAGTCGTTTTTAAAATGCATGTGTGCCTCACTTGTGGTCATGACTTTGAAAATGTTTTATGTCTCAATAGAATCTTATTTTAAAGACTTAGGGAAGCAAAGACATTCTATCATCAATTATTTTTGTAAAGGGAAAAAAAAAACACTTCTATTTAGTGCCCAGATATCCTCATTTATTAGTTTCTTAAGTCTTGAGTTTTTGTAGTACCTTATCTCAAGGTGGATTATCATGACAAATGTTTATTAAACTACCCTCATCTAAGTATCTTTCTTAAATTGATTTTTAGGGGCACCTGGGTGGCTCAGTCAGTTAAGTGTCTGCGTTCGGCTCAGGTCATGATCCCAGGGTCCTGGGATCGAGTCCCACATCGGGCTCCCTGCTCAGCAGGGAGCCTGCTTCTCCCTCTCCCTCTGCCGTTTACCCTCAACATGTGCTCTCTGGCTCGCTCTCTCTCTGTCAAATAAGTAGATCTTTAAAAAAAAATGATTTTTAAGTAAAGTTTTGATTGTGTATATGGACATATAGAGAAGTGCACAAATCATAAAAGCACAGTTCAATGAACTTTCACAAACAACACACCTGTGTCACTAGCATGTAGATCAAGAAACAAAGGAGCACCACAGCACTGTGCACCCATTTTAAAACCACCACAGCGGCATTGTCTACACCCTAGCAAGTCTCTGGTGAGGCCAAGGCATGACTTGGCTCTCCACTTCCCACCTAGAACTCTTACTAGTGAATCTCTATCTCTTCTCGAGCTCCCTCAGGCCAATATTTTTTTGGGGTGTTGCAGAAAGAGAACGAAGTTTGGAGTAAGAAGGTGTAAATTTTATTTAGAACAAAGCACAGGAGGAATGGACCTGAGACTAGTCAGATCTGATGGGGTAGGGAGGAGGGAGCTGGCTGCATCTTTGGGCAGTGATCTTATAGCAGGCTCAAGTATAACATGGCTGTGGAGGCCCTGGGAAACTGAGGCAGCATGAAAAGAGTAAGATAGGGGCCCAGAAAGGGGGATAGAGTGATGGTGGCTCTGCCAGAGGAAGGAAGATGCCAAATATGAGTAGTGCTAACTTTAGCTCTCTGAGCTAGTGTCTCTAGACACCCTTCCTGCCCACCTCCTTGACGGTGTCACTGGGGAAAGATGTAGGGTTTAGTCAGATGGCTCGTATCCCTGTCAGATAGCTCAAACTCTCTGAGTCTTAGCTTCCAAATCCAAAAAAGGAAAGAGCAATTAGCCTCTCTGCTTTGTGGAGATGCGCCCCAATCAAATGAGGGAGTGAATGCATGTGAAAACATTTGCCTTTTTACAATACTTCTCTCTGCCAACCATAGGCCCTTTCTCACTTTACCGTCAGGATGGCTTGGCAAGCAAGTTGGATGAGAACAGAGGAGGGGAAATTCCCAACACCTTGTCGTGGTTCCCTTCACTTCTGGGGCCCCAGATTTCTTATCTGAGGATTAACGTTTTCAAATCCTCCTTCAGGGAAAAGGGATTCCATGAAA